GTTTCCCAGGTGTTACCGACTGGACTAAACACTTTGACTGGCTTGTCAGAGTCTGACTGGGAAGTGTCCCAGAGTCCAAGCTGGCCTGCCATACCTTAGCATGCACAGAAATGATACGTGCTACTGCCACCAAAAATGTATTACTGGCACATTAGATGCCAGTAATAGAAGTATTTAAAAGAAGTATTTAAAAACTTTACAAGAAGTATTTAAAAACTTTACAAGAAGTATTTAAAAACTTTACAAGAAGTGACAAGCAGCTTAACAGAATCAGCAAATATCTTTTGTTGACAATGAAGTTCAAATGGCTTTTGTACATCAACATCTGCCTCCTCTGGCTCAAAAGTCTTACAACTCTAAAAATACAAAACTTGCTAAAATCAATTGAAAAGAGGAAAGATCATTTTGCACCATCTCAGCCCACTCCAAAACACTCAGCAGCACAATCGCTTCTAATTCTCAGCAAAAGAGTGCACTGGAAGCAGCTGCTTCACAACTCAAGATCCACTGGGCTCAAAAGGAGGTGGAAAGCACATGCAAGGGGCAGGAAGCTCTCTTGTACTTCACCAACAGCCCTGGTAAAAAGGGGCTGGTTTACCTTTGTTGAGCAAGGCAATTTGGCAGGCTCTGCTTTTGGAGGCGACTGCAGAGGTGATACAGGACGTGAAAATGAGAAGGTCATTTCCTGGAAAACAATTGAGAGAAGCAGCTCTCAGGATATTTGATGAGACACAGAGAGGAAGTTTCACATTTCCCAGGGGTGCCTACAAAAATAGCAAAATGCATTCCTAACAGGTAAGAACACAGGCTGTCTGGTGAAACACAAAGGGATTCCGGACTTCCAGCTGGAGTCCTCAGGCTGCAACCCCAGCCAGCACACGGCATTTTCACACCATGCACAGGGAAGGGGTGACACGGACTCAGACCAAGGCACTGGGAGCCTGTGTGCTGCCCACAGAGCAAAGATGGAGACCTCACCTATGAGTGGATGCACTGCATAGGATTCCCCAGGAACCGGGAGTGGTTCTCCCACCCTTTGCTGTGACCGGGGCTCCCCAGTGACTGAAGCCATCTGGATGAGGG